GTGCTGCTGCGGCTGCTGCTGCTGCTGCTGCTGCTGCCCAGTGGCCTTCTTCCTATGGGCTCTGTTGCTATAGGGGTCACCTGGCCGGTGTTTTGGCTGTCCCTTCTTTTTGTTTATTATTTTCAGTTTTGTTGTTTACTAGAGAAGAGACATTTTGCTGTCTCTTTATGCTTCTTATTGAGCTAAAGAAGAGAAGAAGAAGTGCAGCCTCTGTAGAGGCCTAAGATGAGGGCTGAGGAGACAGCAGGAGACAGGCTGTAGCAGTAGGCTTCGCTGTGCTGCTCGCTTGGTGTATACCCCTGTCTCCTCGTTCTTCTCTTTCTTTTGACTTTTTATTGTTTCTCTTTAGGCTGGTTTAGGGACAAACTGCAGCAGACTACAGAGCTGCAGTGTACATACAGACAGCTCGCTGACGCAGCAGCAGCCGTAGCCAGTGCAGCAGCAGCAGCAGCAGCAGGGGGCTTGCTGGAAGGCGGCAGCGTGTTAACAGCAGCACCAGCAGCAGAACCTGCTGCCGCTGTTTGTCTCCTATTTTGCTGCACCTGCTCTTGGTCTTAGAGACAGTGAAAGGAGATCTCAAAGGGAGGCGGAGGGCTAACTAAGGAGACAGAAAAACAGAGAAGCAGACAGAAGAAGAGACAGAGAAGGAGACAGCAGAAGAGACAGAGAAGGAGACAGAAGAAGCCACAGAGACGGAAACAGTGAAGGAGACAGCAGAGCAGACACCCCAGCACGATGGAGAGGCGCTGCAGTCTCCTGAGCCCCCCCAGGGGGCTGAAGAGGCCCCTCTGGGCTCTGCTGTCTCTGGTGCTGCTGCTGCTTGCAGCAGCAACGGAGAGGGGACAGGCTGTTTCCCTTAAGCATGACAGGAGCACAACTCCAGACTCAAAAGGAGACAGGTCAGAGAGACTGTCTCCAGAAGGAGACAGTCCCTCTGGGGATTCTTTCTCCTTTGCAGACGCCGCAACAGCACCAGAAGAAGAGGCCCCTTCAGAACAAGAGGAGGCCTCCTCAGCAGCAGCATCTCACAGCAGCAGCAGCAGCAGCAGCAAGGATGCGAAAAGCGCAGCAGAACAGGAGGGGAAGACAGAGAGGGCAAAGGAAGATCCCCAAGGCGACTCTCACCACCAGGCTTCTGTCTCCGCCAAGACAGGAGACGAGGAGACAGCAGCGAAGCCTTCGGATGAAAGAGTTAGAGACAAAGAGGCAGTGCTCAGCAGCAGCTCTAAAGAAGGAGACACATCAGGCAGCAAAGCTGGAGGAGACTCAAAGTCTCCTCCCCGATTGGCTGTCTCCTCTTCTGTCTCCCCCCAAGGAGACACTTCACCAAAGCCCCTTGCTAGCAGCAGCAGCAGCAACAACAGCGGAGACAAGCAGAAGCCTTTAGTGTCCCCCTTCTCTCCTGCATCTGCGCTGGAGACAGACCCAGAGGAGGGGTTAGGAGGCAATGCAAGCTGGGGTATTTCAAGAAAACAAAAGGAAGACACAGGTTCTTCTGGTGATGGTGGTAGTGGTGTTGCTGCTGCTGTTGTTGCTGCTGCTGCTCCTGAAGAGGATGAAGAAGATCTGCTGGAGGCGGCACAGGAGCTGAAGAGACTGGTAATGGAGTTAGAGATGGGGGACAAGGGGGCCCATGAAGCGGATGAAGAGAAAGAGAGACAAATGGAGGAGTCTCCTCACGGCATCCCTGCACTGAGGGGTATGCTAGGCCTTGAAGAAGAAGGCGTAGTCGGGGAGTTTCTGCTGCGGTGTTGGCAGAGTCACAAGAGGCTTGGGGTGTCTCTGCAGGATGTTATGAGTAGCTTTCTTGTTGCAGTAGAGAAAGAGAGACAAAGAAGTGCTTCTGTTGCTGCTGTTCTTTCTGTAGAAAAGGCAAGAGCAGGCCTAAAAGAAGCAAAGGAGACACCTGGGGAGGTAACGCAGGCTGCTGCGGAGCTTAAGCTGCTGCAGCAGCAGCACAAGTACTTAAAGAAGCTACGCAAACGCTTGCAGAAGATGGTGCGGAGAGGAGAGAGGGATCCCAATGCCCTTGTTGCATACCTAGAAGAACTGTGGGGCCCAGTAGATGCAACAGCAGCCTTCAGCCCCGCTAGAGGCAGCATCTTTTACAGCGCAATGAAGACATTAGAGACAGATATTGAGGCTGCGGCCAGAGACTGCAAGAAGCTTAGCACAGTTGTCTCTCGTGTTGTTGAGGAGATCCATCAGGCGTCTCCTCAGCAGGCAAGAAAGGAGACACAAGAAGAAGAGCATCTCCAGAGCATTTTAAACCCACAAATGGGGCCCTTAGCTGCGCTGTCTCCTCAGGGTCTCTCCTCTCTATCCGTCTTCAGACCCCAAGCTCTTGCGGCAGCAGACGAAGAATTCATGAGAGACAGAGACGAAAAGGAGACAGGAAACATCAGCATTAAACCCTCATCTCTCTCAGGTGTCCCCGTGCAAAGACAAGGCAGACAGAAGAGCCGCCGCTTGCCTCCCCTGTCATCTCCTCTGTCTCCTCCTGTATCTCCTCCTTTGTCTCTGCCTGAAGACGAGATAGAAGATACAGCTGAAGCAGATGTCTCCCCACAACCCCTTCAAAAATACCTCCCCTTTGTCTATGGCCCCACAGTTCAACTGAGGCGTCCAGCCAACTCCCCGCGCAGCAAAAAAGAGACAGCGTTTTTTGGTGTAGACGGCTTCGGCATAGAGCCGGAGATGGGGTCGTTTCTTGAGATGGGGGCAAAGACAAAGGCAGAAGAAGAGACAGAAGAAGAGACAGACGAAGAGACAGAGGAAGATGAAGAGACAGAGACAGAGACAGTGCTTAGCGACAGAAGAGCAGAAGGAAAAGCAACCCGCTTGAGCCCTGTGAAGCAGCACCTGGGACAGCAGCAAGACGAGGAGACAGTTTTGGCGTCTCCTGCTTTTGTTTCCTTGCAAAACTCTACTAAAGAGGCTGAAGAGGAGGGAGAGGAAGAAGAAGAAGGAGAAGAAGAGACAGCGGAGACTGCGAGGGCCAGGGAGGGAGAGACAGCAGCAGCTACCGCAGAAGAGAGCGAGGGCCCAGAAAAGGAGGCAACCGAGACAGAGAGACACCCCACACCAACCAAAGCAGAGGAAGGCCGCGAGGCAGAAACAGCTGAAGAGGCGGAGGAGACTATGAAGGAGACGAAGGCCCAGCAAAAGGAAGCAAAAGCTGCAGCAGCAGCGGAGCTACCAGCAGCAGAGAAGAGCGAGAAGGAGGTGCATGTACACCCCAAGCATGAAGAGGAGACTGTCCCCATGTTGATGGTCTCCCAGCTCGAAGCCGATGCATGCGAAAGCATCTCTGACCCCACAGTCTGCATGCAGAAAGAGAAATGCTTCCAAGACTTCATTTATGGAGTTTGTTTCTTTAATTGCACAACTATAGAGACACCCGAAGAATGCAACAAACACAAATTCTGCAGATATGAGACGGAAGTGCCTGCAAACACTTGCGTCAATGAAGGTAAGCTGGCTGCCAGCGGTGTCTCTGTCTCTATGTTTCCTGCTATCTCCTTGGTTGTGCTGTCTTCTCCTTGTCTCCTTTTATCTTACTGTTGCTCCTTGTGTTTCTCTCGTAGTCCCCTCTCTCTCTCTGTAAACAGCTTTCTCTTACTGGGTTATAGCTCCCCTGTTGCAGTCTTTGGTGCTGCAGCAGGGACTGTTGCTGCTGCAGCACCGAACGTTGCTGCAGCGGCGGCAATGGAGTGTCTCTAGGCCGCTTGTCTCATCTGTCTCCTCCGGAGTGTCTCTGCCTTGTTTCGGCCTCACACGGGAGGGCCTTTGTTGCATGCATAGGGGACAACTAGAGGTTTTGGGGCTTTGCAAGGACCGTCTATTTGTTTGATTTTTGTCTGCCTGTCTCTTTGTTTTTTCTTTTTTGTCTCTCTGTCTGTCTGTCTTTTTTTTCCTGCTCATCTACGTCTGCTCGTCTGTCTGCGAGTTTGTCTCCTTGTCTGTGTGGCTATCTCTGTGTCTATCTCTCTGCCTGTCTCTTTGTCTCTTTATCTGCCTCTCTGTCTCTTTTTCCTCTTAGTCTGCCTGTCTCTTTTTCTGTCCGTCTGTCTGTTCGTCTCCTTCTGTGTCGATATCTCCGTCTGTCTCTTTTTCTATCTTTTTTGTGTGTCTCTTTGTCTGCTTGTCTGTTTGCCTGTCTGTCTTCTCTCTATTTGTTTGTCTCTTTGTCTATCTCTGCGTTTAGCTGTCTCTTTCTCTGCCTGTATGTCTCTGCCTCTGTCTGTTAGTTTCATTGTCTGTCTGTCTCTATCTCTATCTCTTTCACTGTCTCTCTTGTTTTTCTACGTGCACTTCTATACCTTGTTGCTTCTGTCTCCTCGTTGTCTCCTAGAGTTATTTACTGTTTTTTCTTCTGTCTCCTTTCAGGCTATCAGACAACAGATGCGGTAGCGCAGCGCTTTGAGGGTATAATGCGTGGCTGCGAGCACTTTACCAAGAAGGAGACATGCGACTTCATGCATGAGCATGCATTGAAACAGCAAGAAATGGAGAAAAATAAAAGCCCCAACAGCAAAACCCCCAAAGGTGGGGTCCCTCTAACTGCACACTTAGGCCCTTCGCCTTTCTTCTGCAAATGGCTTCCAGGGCCTTCAGAAGCGGAGACAGAGAGTGCTGCAAAGCAAACAACAAGCAGCACTCATGCAACAGCTGACACAACAAAGGACAGCAATCATGATAATTCGCACTTAGGAGGACGCAGTGTATGTGGTAACCTAAGAGACGCACCTTCAGCTGGACGCCTACTATGGGGGACTGTCGTAGCAGAAAAAGAAAAAAAACTACGAGGTCAGTGCTGCTGCTGCTGTTCCAGCTGCTGCACGTGATGCTGTGCCTGCACTTGGTGCTGCTGTTGCTGCTGCACTTGATGCTGTTCTTGCACTTGATGCTGCTGTTGCTGCTGCACTTGCTACTACAGCCGCACTTGGTGTTGTGGCTGCGCTTCGCGCTGCTGCTGCACTTGCTGCTGACGCATTGGCTAGTGCCGACGCGTTAGCTATTGCTGCTACTAATGCACTTGCCTCTGCTGCTGCACTCGGTGCTGCTGCTGCTCATGGTGGTGCCTTGGTGACTCTGCTGCCTTCAGCTAGCTGCTTAGTGTGTGGGGTTATTTCCCTTCGATAGGAGACTGGGCAGAGAAGAGAGAAAACAATTGGAGACAGAGGCCTTAGAGGCCCTAGAGACAGATGCATGCAAATCAGAGGATAGCCATCCTCTTATGCAGTGTTTGCTGCTGCAGTTTCGCTTTAAAGGCCTTTGTGATTGTGCTACTGCAGAGATGCAAGAGACAGAGAACGCTCCTCAAGGAGACATCTGCGTAAGACCCAGCGACAGCCTGGCCGTACTGAAGCCCGAGCGTCCCTTCTACAGTGTGGGCTCCATTATTAAGGTGAGGCGGTGTCTCCTTTGTGCCTCTCCTCTGTCTCCTTTGTGTCTCCTTTGTGCATCTCTTCTGCCTCCTCTGTGTCTCCTTTGCCTTTGTCTCCTTTCTCTCCCTTCACCTTATTGCTAAGTGTATCCCGGCGTTCCCCGTGTTCCCCCCGTGTATCTCTTAAATGCAATAAAAATAAAATATTATAATACTACAATAATGATAAGAATATACTAGTCCTCAATAACGAAATAATACAATAATAAGATGAACATACTAGTCCTAATAATAAAATAGATAGCAATACAATAATGATAAGAATATACTAGTCATAATAATAAACTAGATAATAATACAATAATAATAATAATATACTAGTCCTCATAATAAAATAGACAGCAATACAATACTGATAAGAATATACTAGTACTCATACTAATACAATACTAAAGCCTCTAGTTGGTTTCTTGGAGGAAGAGCGGCGCATTACCAACAGACGAATTGACTGAGAATAAGTTAACAAGAGAAGTTGCATACAGAGGCCCGGTGCATGCAGGTGTCTCCTTTTTTCTTCTTTGTAGGTCTCCTGTCTCCCTGGGGCGGTGCTGCTAGGAGTCAGTGACGAGACAGAGTGTAAAGAGAACGGACAGTTTGAACCGGTTCTCAGCTGTATAGAAGAAGGAGACCTTTCAGAGACACAACTTCGTTTTCTGAGGAGAGAAGCAAAGATGTTGGCTGCAGCTGCTGCTGCAGCTGTCCCCTTACAGGGTATGTCATGTGTCTCCTTTCCCTCCTATCTTCTTTAGCTCTCATTAGTTAGCCCTTGAAACGCACAAGAGACACGGAACTACGGTGTCTCTGCTGAGGGTTTCCTCCCTACTCACACAGATGCTGTCTCCTCATGCTGCTGGTGCTGTTGCTGTTGTTGTTGTTTCCGTAGGCAATGGTCTCCTTTTAGCCGCAACAGCGGCAGCTCTGAGCCTCTGGATACTGTTTTAGGGACCGTCTCTTTAAATAGAAACTGTCTCCTTGGAGACTATCTTAGTACAAAATGCCTCATCAGGGACTGTCTATTGAGAAGCTGTCTCCTTGTGGGGTGTCTCTACAGAGGGAAACTGTCTCCCTGGAGACTGTCTGTCTCCTCGCGTCGGGGCTGAAGGCGGTACCCCTGCGAAATTTGTTTAATTAATTACTTTAAAAGACAGCGTATGCATTATTTATAACAAACTGAGGGATTGATTGCATGCACTAATAAAAGCTAAGGACTGGGGCTTGCACTGTCTGTACACACCGCAGGGTACAGACACCTCAACACACATCGCATATTAATAGATTAAATACGCGCTTCCCTGTTCCTGCTGCGGCTGCCTTGCAGCAAAGAGACAAAGTTTTGCAGCTCTGCTGCGCTGCTGCTGCTGCTGCTGCTGCAGCACACGCCTCACCTAAGCTGCCTCTCTATAGAGGCCTCTACATGCAGTCCCTTGCAAAAGGAGACTGTGCGCGGATCGGCCCCCTGCCCTTGAGGTGCGGAGACACCGCACCAGGTCAGGAGACACCGCATGAGTTCCGGAGACACCCCAAATGTTTCAAATTCGTGCCCACTTCAAACTGTGCCTAAATCTAAGACAATATATGCGAGCGATGAGACGCAAAAAAACATGCAGCAGCAGAAAGAAAAGAAATGCAGCTGCAGCAGCAGCAACAGCCCTCGCAGCCGCGCAGCCAAATACCTGCAACAGCAGCTGCTGCTGCAGCTTCTGTTTCAGCAGCACTGCTGCTCTCTAGACTCTACAAGGGCAGTTTGTATTGAAGCCCAGCACCGTCTCTCCGCGTCCGTGCTGCTGGTTGGTTGTTGCAAAAGCCCCGCAAGCTGCTGCAGCAGCAACTGCTCCTGCTGCTCCTCCATGCCCTTGTCTGCAGTGCGCCTCTCTTCAGCTGCTGATGGCAGCTGCAGCAGCAGCAGCAAACACACCCCACAACCCCACATCTATAGGTCCCTATACACTGCAAATATGAACATAACAAGGAAAGTAGGGAAAGAAGAAAGGAGACGGAGACAGAGAGAGAACGGAGACAATAAAGCCCGACTCGTTTAGTTTAAGTGTCTGCACAAGCTGTGGGGTGTACGTACATGAAACGCTTCCAGCATCCACCGGATGCATGCACTGCAGCAGCGCAGCTTCTGCTGCTGCTGCCGAGACAGAGGCTGCGAGCCACACAACTCCACGGCGTCTAACACCAGCTGCATCTGCTCCTCAGGACTCAAAGAGCTGCTACACACTCCTGCTGCAGCAGCGTCCCACTCCTGCTGCTGTTGCTGCTGCTGCTGCTGTAGGTGCCGCCGGAATGCCTGCCGTGACGAGCCATGGCTGCTTGCATAGGCGCACCCATGCAGCAGGATTTGCTGCTGCCGCTGCTGCAGCACGAGCAGCAACCCGTGGAGAAAGGAAGGGAGGGCCTTCAGCAGCGCCGCAGCAGCAGCCTGCAGCAGCTGCTGCTGCTCCTGCTGCACCGGGAAGTGCCGCTGCAGCGCAGCCCACGCGCCTCGCCCAGCAGCAGACGCCAAAAAGCCTTGGGGTGCTGCTGCTGCGTGGCGGTATCCGTCTAAGTAAATGAAAGCTGCCTGTACACCCCAAGACAAACAATAACACACAGCTCTTTCAGGGAGGCCGTAACAGCCGCAGCAGCAACAGCAACAGCAGCAACTTGTTGCCGCTGGCCTCCACTGTGGCTTCAGTGCGCACCGGCTGCTTGACCAGCGGCAACAGCAACAGCAACAACAGCAAAACAGCGATAGCAACAGCAGCAGCTCACCTGTAGGTGTCTCCCTTTTGACTGCAGGAGATTTGCATGGGTCCGCTGCAGCCAAGAACGGGGGACACCCAGCTGCTGCTGCAGCAGCTGAGCAGCCCAAAGCCTCCGGTGTACAGGCACCTCAGCACTCAACTCCCTGCCGTACTTGTCAACGAGTGCACGTGCTGCAACCACTCCTGCGTCTGTAGCAGCAGCAGCAGCAACCGCAAGAGCAGCAGCAGCAGTGTTATGACGGTTTTGGCTGCTTCCAGCTGGTGGCACGCGCAGCTGCAGCAGCAGCAACAGCAGGTGCAACATCAGCAGGAACAGCAACAGCAGCAACAGCAGCAAGGCCACCGCACCTGCGCAGCGCAGCCTACCTCTGTCTGGGCTGAGCAGCAGCACAGCGCATGCAACCGGCCACAAGCCCGAGAACTCCAGCTGCTCTGCAAAAGCAACAGACAGCTTCTGCTGCTGCTGCAGCAACCGGCGGATCACAGGCTGCGCGCTGCGCGGCATCGCAGCGACACACTCCCTGTCCGGCAGCCACGCCAGCTGCTGCTGCTGCTGCTGCTGCATGTGCTGCTGCTGCTGTTTCTGAAGTTTTGCTGCTTCTGTTGCGTAGTGCATGCACAGCACAAGCCCCGCCAGCCACGGCAGCTGCGAGTCGAGAGGAAAGGGGCAGCAGCGCCAGCTGCTGATTGCCTCCAGAGAAGGGACAGAGAGACCCGCATGCTGTCTGCAGCAGCAACGCAGCAGCAAAGCAGCACACAGGGGGCAGTTGCTGCTACGCTGTCGCTGGAAAACGCTAGCAGCAGCGACCTCGCAGCAACCGCAGCAGCAGCAAAAGAAGCCTAGCTGACGCCCTGAACGCCTACCTGAGGAGAGCAAACTGCATGTCAAACTGCTCCTCGCTCAGCAGCTGCTGGCAGTGCTGCTGCTGCTGCTGCTGCTGCTGCTGCTGCTGCATCGTCTTGAGGGCTTGCAGCAGAAACTGCGCCTCCCGCTGCTGGTGAACGTACAGCGGCAGCGGCGCTGACCCCCAGCAGCTGCTGCAGCTGCACCTTTGCCCGCGGCCAAACCTCCCCAAGAACAGCAGCGCCTGCAGCCGCAGCAGCAACACAGGCAGCAGCACCAGCCACAACACGTGCAGCAGCAACAGCAGCCCACATTGACGCATACCCACTCGCGCATGCGTTAGGCAGCAATATCAGTATGCTGCTGCAGCAGCTGCCTCCTTTGCCCCGTCCCCTCATGTGACCTGCATACAGTGCGTCGCCGCTGCCGCTGCTGCTGCTGTTGCTGCTGTTGCTGCTGATGTTGCTGGTGCTAGCGTACCCTTTTGAGGTCTCTGGGGGCGTCAGGTGCTTGAGGAGGGGGCCGCAGCTCCTCCCTAAGGAGAACAGGAGACACCAAGACGCCTGTCTCTTGTTCAAACAGCAGCGCTGCTGCCAGCTCAGCTCGCCAGTCTAGGAAAGGAGCATCTGCTGCCCATAGTGCAGCACACGCTGCGGCTGAGGCTGCGTCAGCAACCCGAGGGCCCTGCCCTCCTGCTACTGCTGCTGCCTCTGTTGCCTCTGCTGCTGCTGCTGCAGATGGTGCTGTTGCTGGTTCTCTGCCCACGCCATCTTGGGTCTCCACTTGCGAACAGCGCAGCTTGTTCACAGCCGGCCCATGCGGACGGCCACCAGCAGAAGCAGCAGCAGCAGGCGCAGCACCAGAAACAGCAGCAGCAGGAGGCGGAGCGCCGCCAAGCAGTCTGTACACCCGACGAACTTCACGTGGAGGCTGGGGCAGCGCGGAAGCTTGTAGGGCGTCGGCATAAAGCAACTGAACAGCAGCAGCAACAGCAGCAAAAGCAGCAATCGCAATGCATACAAAAAGACCTGCTGCTGTTGCCCTTGCTGTTGCTGCTGCCTGCTCCGCTTCCACGCTACAGCAACCCACGCAGCTGCAGCAGCAGCAGCAGCACATCGGAAACTCTACAGCAAGCCGAACGAACCAGCAGCAACAACAAATGCAGCAGTAACAACACCAGCGGCAGCAGCACATGCTGTAGCAGCTGACCTGACAGCCCAGGGGCTGCTCCATGTGAGCAGCAATGGCTAATGCCGTATGCGGGTAGAAGGCGCCCTCCTTCAGCAGCAGATGCACCGAGGCCAGACCCTGAAACAGCAGTAGCAGCAGCAGTAGTAACAAAGAGGGTCTCAACACCAACGGAGACTACCCGTGCCTTTTAACCGACAGTCTGTTTCTGCTGCTGCAGCAGCTGCTGCCGCTGGTGCTGTTGCTGCTGGTGCTGTTGCTGCTGTTGTTGCTGCTGCTGCTAAGGGGAGACTCACGTGCCCATTTGCGAGGAGGTGCAGCAACGCCGCAAACCTCCGCAGCTCCCCCACTGCCCCCATCGCCTCCAGCAAGGCCTTTGCATTACAGGACAGAAAGAGGTCCCGGTTGCGCAGCAGCAGCTGCTGCAGCTGCTGCTGCTGCTGCTGGGCTTGTGTCGCCAAATGCGCCCTTCGCAGGAAGCTGAGCAGCAGAGGGCGGCCTTCATCGGCTAGCCATTGAAGAACGCGCTGCTGCCGCTGTCTCTCCATAGCAGCAGCGAACGAAGCACTGAAATCTTTGTTAGGGCCTGCATGCAGCAGGTGCTGCAGCTGCTGCTGTTGCTGAGCACTGGGGTCCAGCAGCAGCGCCACAAGCAGCCGCCACGTCTGCAGCATGTAAGGAGACAAATACGATACTTCGGAGTACCGGCGGTATTCTCCCTCTCCATCTGCTGCTTCAGCAGCAGCAGCATCAGCAGCAGCATTAGCATCAGCAGCAGCACTTGCAATCCATGGAGATCTGCGGGGCCAAATTGCCGCGTCGCCGCCGCCGGAATAATAACTGTTCTGCTGCTCCAAGAACTCTAGCACGCGGAGCAACAGCCTGCACAGCAGCAGCAGCAGCAACAGCAGCAGCAGCAGAGGTCAGCAGCAACTCCGCTGTGCCGGTACAGGGCCGTTCTCCCCTTCAATGCTTCGTGAGAAAACCTCAAAAAAACCTCCCCCAGTCTTCTTGCAAGCACATCCTTGCATGCATGTGCATGCATGCAAGTGCATGCATCTACATGCATGCAGGGATGTGCAAGCGCATGATGAAAGGTGGCATGCAAAAGATCTCCACTGCAGCAAGCTGCTTGTTAAGGGTTTAGGGTTTAGGGTTTCAGCGGAAAGAAAGGACACCACTCGCTAGCCCAGAGCCGCTGTTTGTTTCCATTAATAGAAACCCCAAACATGTAGTAACAGCAGCAGCAGCAGCAGCAACTTGCTGCAGTCCTTACCGGTCCTTTATACTTGCAGCCGGAACCTCTGGCTGCAGCACCTGCTGCTCCTGCTGCATCAGCTGCAAACGTAGCTGCAGCGAGCTCGCTTGGGAGGAGCCAGCCTCTGTCTCTGCCTCCTGCAGCACGTCGGTTATAACTCCTACTGCTGCAGCAGCAGCATCTGCTGCCAGGCCTCGGTGTACAGACACCCCAGACTCAAAGAGATGCAGACGCACATTTTCTTTCAAGTCCCAGACAACCCGCACGCCTTCTTCTTCCATCGTCGTCGCCACTTTGCTGCTGCTGCTGCTGCCTGCCTCGCTGCTGGCAGCAACAAAACTTCTTGCTGCTCTCTCTACAGCCTCTTCTGCCCCCAGTGCGTCTGCAGCATCAACCACCTGAGGCCTGGGCACCTCTCCAGCTGTCCAAGGCGCCCCACACGTAGCAGGAAGGCTGCTGCTGCTGCTGTTGTTGTTGCTGCTGTGGTCTGCACCTGCAGCGGCAGCAGCAATTGCTTCAGCAGCTTCCTTAGCGAAAGGCTGAGGCCTGACAAAACCGTGAGGGGACGGAGAAGGCGGCAGCAAAGGCGACAGTCGCAGCACAGCCAACTCGTACGCCCCGCAGCTATCACTAGCTGCTGCTGCTGCTGCACCACCAGCAGCAGCTTCCTGGGGGGCTCGAAATACGGGTAGTGCGCAAAGGCCGCCAGGGCCAAAGGCGGGAGCACAGCGAACAGGAAAGGGGGGCCGCCGAAGCCACGGGCGAGGAGGAGGAGCAGCAGCAGCAGCAGGTTTGCTGCTGCTGCCAACCGCAGCACTCTCCTGAGGCAACAACTCATTTGCAGCTGTTTGCAGGGGCAAAGGCTCCTCGACCTCCGAACCTACCCCTGGCTCACCTGCAGATTGCCGTTGCTGCTGTTGCTCTTGCTGCTGTTGTTGTTGCTGCTGCTGCTGCTGGCCGTCCTTGTCCTCATCGTCGTTTACAGCACCAGCAATAGCTCCTACCTGTTGCTCTTGCTGCTGCTGCTGCTGCTGCTGGTGAGCAACAGCAGCGAGGAGGGTCTGCGGGGCGTTGCGCAGGATGCGGGCCCTTTGAATATGCAGCGACAATTCTTCTGCGGGGAGTGCCCCAGCGGGAGTAGCAGCAGCAAAGGCAGCTACATTTGCTGCTTCTACAGCATCTGCCTTTTCAGCTGCTGCTGCTGCAGCTGCTGTTCCTGCTGCTGCTGCTGCTGCAGGAAGTTGCTGTGTCTCATCTTCATCTATCCATTTATATACAGAGAAGTGCTCAACTTCAAAGCGCCACTCCCAGGTGTTTAAATCTAAAGATAAAAATTTCGCCCCCATCTTTTCCGTGTAGCGTTTCACCTTCTCCACAAACTGCAGCGTGCTGCTGCTGCTGCTGTTGTTGTTGTTGCTGCTGCTGCTGGCTGCGTCGGTGTCTGCAGCAAGGGACTTGGGTTTGCAGTTGCACAGAGTTATTCGAGCCCTCTTATTCAAACCCTCTCCAACAGGAGGAGCCTCCTGGGCGTATACACTGACCTGGAGACAGAGAGACAGCGGCAGCAGCAGCAGCACAAGGAGCAGCAGCAGCAGGCATAGTGAAGAGACAGACCACTCCAGAGACAACCAGCAACCTTAAGGGCAAAGGACACTGAAAGAAGAGACACATGAAAAAGAATATAGAGGGGAGAGAGAGAGACAGAGGAGACAGCGAACTGAATAAGGAAATACAAGCAGGAGACAGATAGAAGGCATATAGGGGACATAGAGAGGCGACTGAAAAGAGGCAGAAAGGAGACAGAGAGCCGCGAGGAGACAAACAATGAAACAGAGAAGAGACAGGCAAGAGACACAGAGGAGACAGACAAGAGACAGCGCATGTATATATATATATATATATGTACAGATATACTAATATATATAATCAAATAAGCATAATACCTATAGTGGCAGCATATATAATTCATCGAAGATACAACATTAATAACATGTGCAAGAAATAACACACGCATCTATATATATTTTTATATCTATATCTATATATCTATATATATCTATATCTATATCGGGTGCATGCAGAACTGGGGTGTACTGTCAGCTCACCTCGAGGTCGCCAATAAAGACGACAAGATCCAAGTTAATACCGCGGAGGTCAGTGTACCCAGGAAAGAAAATGCTGCCTACTCCGGGCTTGGAGATGCTGAAGTCTTGAACTCTACTTAATTCTGCTTCGCTCATCTGCTGCAGAGAGGAGACAGAGGGACTGCATTCGTACAGCGGGTTCGTCAACACTGGCACCAACTCCACTGGAGCCGGCTCCCTGCTGCTGCTGCTGTTGCTGTTGCTGCTGCTGCTGGACGCGCCCGAGCTATGGACAGACGCCGCTTCTGTCGCGGCAGCGGCTGCTGCTGCTGCTGCGGCTGCTGCTGCTGCCACCCTCCCAAGTATATCCCCTCCTCGCTGCTTCTGAATCTCCTCCTCCTGCTGCAGATCCTGCTGCTGCTGGTCTGCAAGTTGTTTCTCCGACGGTTGCGGTGTCTGCTGCTCTCCATTATGTGGGGATGCAGCGGGGCCCGGGCCTTCATCCTGCAGCTGCTGCAGCATCTCGTAGTCCCGAATGGACAGGGGTAGGAGTTGCTGGCGCTGCTGCTGCTGCTGTTGCTGCGCTGCAGCAAGAGAGCGGTGGATGGTTTGTGCGAGCCAGCCATTCCGTTTGCTGCTAGTGCTGTCTGCAGGTGCTGCGCTAAGTACCTGCAGCGTCTGCTGTTGCTGGAACAGCAGCTGCTGCGGGAGCGCGAAGGAGGCGCTGAGTCCTGCTGCTGCTGTTGCAGTAAGCGGCAGCGGCAGTCCCCCCGCAGCAGCAGCCCCGTACCTTCTTGTTCTCTGTCCCAGCTGCGGAGGAGGCAGAGGGAGGCCTTTTGAGAAACAGCTGTCTCCAATGCTGCTAACGGGCTCCTGGGAAACCTGGGGGGCCCCTCCTCCTGTTGCAGAGAGCATAATCTGCACTGTCACCTGTGGGGCCCCCAAGATACTCCCTAGAGCTAACATGCTGCCCCCAGCGGAGACCCCCGAGCTGCCGGCGAGGGAGAGCAGCAGCTGTTGCTGCTGCTGCTGCTGCTGCGGCGTCGTTCCCCCCAAGCTGCCGAGTCCGAATAAGCCCGTTGGCTGCTGCTGCTGCTGCTGCTGCGTGTTATTGTTGCTGCTGCTGCCAAAGAGGCCGCCTCCGCTGCTGCTGCTAGACCCCAAGCCGCCGAAGAGGCCTCCTCCTGTTCCAGTTGTTGAGGGCTTGGTGAGAGCCCCAAAGAGAGAGCCCCCTGCTGCCCCAGCGTTGTTGTTTGTATCTAAACCAGAAGCACCACCGAAGATGCTGCCGCTTCCTGCTGCAGCTGTGCCCAGGGCACCCCCTCCTGCTGCACCTGCTGGCCTCAGAGACCCGAACAGACCGCCGCCTGCCCCGGTGCTGCCGGTGTTGCTGCTGCTGCCAAACAAACCGAGAGAACCGCCAGTGCCAGCAGCAGCTCCTGTCCCTGCTGCTGCTGTTGCTGGCTTTGCCCCAAACAAACCACCGCCCAGAAGGCCTCCTCCAGTCTGCTGCTGTTGCTGCGGCTGCTGCTGCTGCTGCGTGGTGCTGCTGCTGCCAAAGAGGCCCCCTCCCGCGCCAGTGAGGCCTGTATTTGCTGTGCCCGTTGCTCCTGCTCCGAAGCCTCCAAAGAGGCCTCCGCTCGGCTGCTGCTGCTGCTGCTGCTGCTGCTGCCCAAAGAGACCGCCTCCAGCAGCGCCTGAGTTGCTGCTGCTGCCAAGCAATCCCCCCCCGGTGCTGGGGGTTTGTGATGAGCCGAAGAGGCCCCCTCCACTGTTTGCTGCTCCGAAGGAACCTGTAGTCGCTGCTGGCTTACCGAACAAGCCACCCCCCGTGTTTGCTGCTGCAGTAAGACTGCTATTGCCAAAGAGACCCCCTCCAGCTGGTGCTGCTGCTGCAGTGCTTCCGAACAAGCCCCCTTGCTGCTGCTGCGGCTGCTGCTGCTGCTGTGTTGTCGAAGCACCGAAAAGGCCCCCTCCAGTGCCAAAGGCATTATTTGCGCTGCCCGTTGTTGCTGTAGACCCAAATAAGCCTCCTCCCGTGCCTGCTGCTGCTGGCTGCTGCTGTTGCAGCAGGCTGCTGCTGTTACCGAAGAGGCCTCCTCCGCCGCCGATGCCCTGAGCAGCAGCGGGGGCCCCAAAGAGGCCCCCTGAGGCTGCTGGCTGTGCAGCAGCAGCACCAAAAGTGCCTCCTTGCTGCTGATAATAATTCCAACGAATTTCTTCTAAGGCCACCTTCTCTAAAGCCCCATGGCAGATCGTCATAACCAAGCCATCCTCAGCACTATAGGGGCGAAAGGGCTGCTGCTGCTGCTGCAGCTGCTGCTGCTGCTGCGGAGCAGCCAAGGAAGAGACGCCAAAGGGAGACGAAGTCGCCGGCTGACCCACTAAACCAAACAAACACACAAAACAAAACGCAACTCATACTGCAGCACCAGCAACAGCAGCAGCAACGGCAGTAACGGAGACAGCCGCAACACTAAGGGCAACAGCGGCAGGTGCCGCAGCAGCAGAAGCGACAGACGCAGCAGCAACAGCAAGCAACAGCGGCAGGCATAGCAGCAGCAGCTGCAACGCGAGGTAGAGAGAGAGCTTGGAGAAGGAAATGCATCACAAAAAAGACAGACAGAGGTGAGAACGAGGGCGAAGCAAAAGAGACAGCCGGAGACGAAGAGAGACAAATGGGGACAAAGTGAGACAGGCAAAGAGAGACGGACGGAGACAAGGAGAGAGACAGAGAGAGAGACAGAGGGACAGAAAGAAAGAGAGACAGACAAAGGAAAAGAAATGCGCACAAAGAGAGACAGACAGACACAAAGGGAGACAGAGAAGCCAAAGAGACAGACAAAAGAAGAGCGAGAGACAGACACGGAGGAGGCAGCGTCTGGCTGACACCAGAAGATGAAGAAAAATAGACAGAGATAAGAAGCAAACAAAGGGAGACACCAAAAGAGACAATCTCCGCCTCACGTGCATTTGTGCTGCTGGAGACGCCGAAGAGACCCCCCCCTGTCGCTGTGTTGCTGCTGCTGTTGCCGAAGAGACCAGTGGTCTGCTGCTGCTGCGGCTGCCCAAAGAGGCCCGACCCACCAGTCGAGTTGCTGCTGCCGAAGAGACCAGTGGACTGTTGCTGCTGCCCAAACACAGTGGAGGTGCCACCAAAGAGTCCCCCTGCTGCTGGTGTTGCTGCTGTTGTGCTGCCGAAGAGACCAGTGCTCTGCTGCTGCTGCGGCTGCCCGAATTTCGTGTTGCTGTTGCCAAAGAGGCCGCCTCCTGCTGCTGGCTGCTGCTGCTGCCCGAAGCCTGTGGTGTTCCCGAAGAGGCCCCCTTGCTGCTGCTGCGGCTGCTGCTGCTGCCCAAAGGCACTCGTGCCTCCAAACAAGCCGCCCCCAGTCCCACCAGCAGCAGCACTGTTGGCCGCTCCAAAGAAACCTGTGTTTTGCTGCTGCTGCGGCTGCTGCTGTTGCTGCTGTTGCTGCCCGAAAAGGCCCCCTCCAGCACCCACAGAACTCCCAAAGAGGCCCCCGCCGCTCGGCTGCTGCTGCCCAAACAGACCTGAATCGCAGCAGCAGCAGCACAGCAGCAGCAGATGCAGCAGAAATGAATGCAGCAGCGGCAGATGCAGCAGCAGCTGTTTGCTGCGCTCCCAACAACTGTACGCAGCGAACAAGGCACTGGGCAGAGCATCTGCTGAGGTGAAGATGATGCTGCTGCTTTTCTCGCTGCTGCTGCTACCTGCTAGGTATGAACTGCAACAACCCTCCCTCGAGCCAAATGCCCCGCTGCAGAACACACAGCCATCTTTACTGGTCTTATTTTATTTCAGTGTCTCCTCACCTGTCCCTAAAGAGGTCCCTGCGGGCTGCGTTTGGGCTGGAGCACCAAAGAGGCCCCCCCCAGCAGCAGGCTGCTGCTGCTGTTGCTGCTGCGAACCGAAGAGTCCCTGGCCTGTCGTTGAGGCCCCGAAAGGGGATGTGCTGCCAAACATAGTCAATACCCGCAGCAGCTGCTGCTGCTACTGCTGCTGGTCCGGCGCCGTTTTTCGTGTTGCTGTTGCTGCCGCTGTTGATGCAGCAGTGCTGTTGTTGCTGCTGTTGCCGCAGTGTTGCTGTTGCTGTACTGGGGACCCTAACTAGATGAAGACACGGCCCGTAGCTATAAGGAAGCAGCAGCAGTAATAATGCGTCTGCAGGTTTTGCTGCTGCAGGTCTTCAGCACTAAACGCCGAACCATAAACCCCAATCCCTAGACCCCACCCTACGCATGCGACTCACGAAAGTTAACTGGAAAACGTGTGTAGGCGGAACTGGTCCAACCAAGTTAGGGTATAGGGTTTAGGGTTTTGGGGTTTGGCGCTGCTGCAGCAGCCCCATGTTTCTTTCAAGCCCTCTAACTCACAGTCGCTCCAGCTTGGCAGGCGTTTGCAGTTAGGGAGACAGCGGTGAGTGCAGCAAGAAGAGACAAAACAAAAAACAGAAACGCAGTGTATATACAGCAGGTGTACAGGCAGCTCGAGGGCCGCCGCCCTGCCTATACACCGCGCGCATGCCAACGGGAGCAGCGGCGGCAGCCCCACGAGTTTTCTGGCTTGTTTCAGTTTGTTATTTCGGTCCTCGCATGCATTAAAGAAGTATCTTTGATGCATTTTTGAAATGCAAAGCAAACCCAAGAAAGAGAGGCTTCTGCGTCGTAAGGGCCTCCCTTAGGGGGGAGGAGCTGCTATTGATGTTGCGGTACTGTTATTCCTGCTGCCTTCTCTGCTTAGGCTTCCTCTGGGTTTCGTTTACATTACTTTTCATCTTCTTTGATGTATATATGTGTTCTCTTGTTGCGAGTCTGCTAGAGAGGCCAGAACCGGCAGGAGCTCTAGGGTTTGGGGTTTAGGACTTGGACGTGACTTTAGGTTATGGGGCTTAGGACTTCAGGTTCTGGGCTTGAGGCTTAGGGTCCGGCGTTTAAGGTTTTAGGTTTAGGGTTTAGGATTCAGAGTTTGGGGTTAAGCTTTTTGGGTTTAGAGCTTATGGTTTATGGCTTGGAGTGTAGGGCTTGACGTTTAGGTTTGGGGCTTCAAGGTTTAGGGATTGCAGCCAATAGTTGTTGCCAATGCTGTGGGAGCGGACAGCAGTACATGACTAATTAAGAGGAACTAATGCGGAGAAGCAACCCAATCAAAGGAGACGAACTAGTAGAGACGAGCCAACTACAAGAGACACACGAATATAGAGAGACAAGAATAAATGGCAGTCAGGAACAGCGGAGACTCCGCCGGACACAAGAGGGCTCGTCCATGGGGCTGGGGAAACGGATACGGCCAGACTCTACGCGCTGAGCTCAGCTAGCTACACCTAGGTACAGCTAGCCTGTGTAGATACCTGCAGCTAGCTAGAGCTAGCTGCTGTTGACATGGCGCTGTGTTGACGCTGCAGGCGTTTTTGCTCCTGCTGCTCCGGTTCCTGCTGCTACTGTTGCTGCTGTTGCGGGTGAGTGGAGATGCCTAGGGCGACTTGCGACGTGTAGGGCCTTCAAAGGGCCAACATACAACAGCGAGACTTAGAGCAGCCTGTTGAGCTTCACGCTAAGGGGGCGAGGGCTATGTAGGAGCAGCCGTTTCCTCTGTGTTCATTCAGCCTTCTCCATTCAAGGAGCTGCACCAACAAACACAATTAGCCGCTGCTACACGAACCCATGATGGGCTGTCCAGCAGCAACGGCATCGGCCAAACTCAGCTGCTACCGCTGCAGCGGCTGAGTCGTCAGGCCGCAACGAGGAGACAGCTGCGCGCGTGGCGATCCCTTGGAGAGGAGATCCCTGGTGCTGTCTGGTTTCCCTTTTTGTTTGTCTGTATGCTGTTAGAGAAGAGACATTTGCTGCTGTCTTCTTTTCTAACCGTCTGGCGAGGTGGAAAGCCAAAAACTCCGATTTCCTCACGTGTCCTTTCCGTCCATTCCTCCTTGCTGGTCCCTCATATATATATATATATATATATATATATATACGAGACAACCTACAGAGGCACTATATACTACATACCTAATATGTAAATATATGTATATATATATATATATATATATATATATTATAGTAGAATATATATATGTATATATATGTGTATATATATATATATACATATATATATATATTCTACTATAATATATATTTACATGCATCCATGTATATATATATATATGCATATATATACCTACAGTTGTCTGCTCTCCATGCTGTATGGTGGTGCTCACAAGCCTCACAAAGAGGCAAAGGTTAGAGGAGATGAGAGCTGAAGGAGACATTTTCATTATCAAAAAGAACATGAAGACTTCAGCAAGGCGATGAAGGAGACAACGCAGCCTCTATGCCTCATCGGGACGCTCAAAGGCAATGCAGTTGTCTTTAGAACCTCCATACACCGCTGCTGCAACTGCTGCTGCTTCTGCACTGCGCTGCTGCTGCTCCTTTGAAGCGGCGACTGCTTCTGCTTCGTGAGGCGCAGCAGCTGCGGCTGTTGTTCTTGCTGCTGCCGCAGTGGCGCCCTCAGATGGAGCCTCTATCGCTTGTCTTTCTGGTGGCTGGGGCTTCAGAGCCTCCTCCAAGGACTCCACGGCACAGTAGCAGGCAAGTGGGCATCCTGACTCTGTACCGCCGCTGGCTGTTGGTGATGCTACTGCTGCCGATGAAGGTGCTCGGTGGCAGCTGGCCCGTCAGCCTCGGGAAACTCCGTGCCATGGCAGGGGTGCAAGTGTAAAGGGCGGTTGGGGGGAGCGGAGGGGAATATTGATCATGGGACGTTCAGAAGCCTGTGTGTTGGAGAGCGGAGTGTGTGTGTGTGTGTGTGTGTGTGTGTGTGTGTGTGTGTGTGTGTGTGTGTGTGTGTGTGTGTGTGTATGTGTGTGTGCGTTTGTCCAAGTGAGATCTGCGTTTTGTATACATAAGCGTGGCTAACTGTGGTGGGCGTTCATGAAGAGATGAAGTTGGTGGAGGAATAGGCGGAGCGTGCAAAAAATGTGTGCATGGGAGTTGTGCAAATTAAAAAGAAAAGAGGCCGTCATCACCCAAAGGGATTCCCGCGGAGTCCCCCACCGCAGTACTAACCGGGCCTTGCGCCGCTTAACTT